TCAGTTCCAAAATGGTGCGTATTTTAGGCGCGGACACTTCGTATATGAAGTTCGGCCCTGTGCCCGAAAAATAGCGTGTGTCAGTAAGTAATTAAATAATTTCGATCTATTAACGTGGAATTCTCAGCTGTCAGTGGCGCAAGTAACACAAGCGTGTGGAGCGCGCGTTAGCCAGTTCCCAGCAGCTGCGCGGTCCGGACCGATCGGTGCCCGTCGCAGCCGGTGGGGCAGCCGGACCACAAGCGGAACTATTCATGTTTCTGTTCTATACTATACTATTTTATGTACTATTTTAGTGTCCAGACTGACACCTACCGACTGATACATACCGACTGCGCTATATTAAAAAATGTTAGGTAGTGCTTCGCACCGTACCAGATCTTCCCCTGGCTATCTCTAAAGCTGACAGTGAGTATTATTCCTGCGTACTGCGAGCGCCACCCGGCATACATATGTTGCACAGAGTAGAACGTATAGTGAACCGAGGCGACGCGAGCAGCGACCACTGTCTACTGTCTACCCACGCTCCGATATGAGGGATGACACAACCAATATGGAATACAATTATTGAGACTTAATGTCAGGGTATGTGTGCCACCACCACGTCACGCTGTGACGTCGGTGAGCACAGGTGAGCTAGCGCATAGACCCACACGACAATCAGTGTATCCCTATGGAGTATCGGTATGTAGCAGTAGAGCAGAGAGCCGATGGACTTCTCAAACGTAATGTCAGCACGTAATACATCAGACTTTTACTGGCGGTAAGATCTCTTGTGAGCCCGCGCGGGTAGGTAGGTACTGCCCGTCACTCTATATCCCGCTATTTCTGCTGTGAAGCAGTAATACGTTTCGGTTTGAAGAGTGGGGTAACCGTCAGATCCTTAGCACATGTTTTGGATGCTTGGGAAACCGAATATTACACTAGTCTACTTATTATATTATATAAAATGTATTTCTGAATATACTGTTTAAAATAAAGTATGCTGAACATTTTTTGTGATGTGTTGTAGTTCAAGCTGAGAAATATGACATTAACCATTTGTAATCGTTCACAGCATCTACAACATCTGACACCAATACAAATAATAATAGGTATACGTGAATACGGCGTCGCTTACATGCGTACGTATGTAGTTGTAGATCATAAATAACTCAAACTCAATGACATCGAAATGAAATAAATATTACACCGTTACTCACATGATAGTGTGGGAGTCGATACACCAATAAAGCACTATTACCTCTTTAATAAATATAAGTAAATGAGCGTCGTGCGTGTAGGAGCACTTTGTTCGTCAACTGACCGTGTCGGACGCGAGGCAGGCTTAGAGCTTGAAGGCGGGACCACCCTCCGCGAGCGGCGCGGTATCGCGGCTCACATCGACCGTTCTAATCAGATTTATACGATACAGCCTCCCTACAAATAAAACTTAACCTATTGTTCGCGTGACAGACATATAGAGGAAGTCTCGTGGATCAATGGGATCGCATCTTTTGTGTGGTGGACTCAAAGGCAACTCTTCCATCGGCGTATTGATGAGAGCGGCTCGCGGGAATGGCCTGTACTCGCGTGTGCGTCTTCTGTTCGAGCTGCGTCGCTCGTAGGTTTGTCATTACAAGTCGATCTCGGATGTGGTTGTTTGTTCGTTAGTTCCTTAAAACTTCAAGCAAATCGCAGGGCTAGTATCCAAAAGGTGTCTTGACTTTAGGAAGAATATTTCGTGTGATACAGCTGGCTGTTTTTTGAGTTGAAAAAAAAAGCCATAGACATCTTAACGTCACACATCACCTCGACATTAGATAGATCATCGAAACAAGTCGTAGCGGAGGACTTCCTTCACCGTTTCAAATTGTCCGACGATATTAGGGAACTCCTTAGAGCTAAGAACGCCTCGATACGCGCCTACGACAGGTATCCTACCGCGGAAAATCGTATTCGAATGCGTGCCCTACAACGCGACGTAAAGTCTCGCATCGCCGAAGTCCGAGATGCCAGATGGTCTGATTTCTTAGAAGGACTCNGGAGCCAATCAGGCGCATAACGCATTTCGTGTGACATGCTAGTACGATTTTGATTGGCGCGCGCACGCATCACGCAATCAGGAGCCAATCAGGCGCATAACGCATTTCGTGTGACATGCTAGTACGATTTTGGTCCCCATAATTTTCATACCCCGGGCCTATATATGTAAATCGATTCTAAAGGAGTAAACTCCAAAAAATAAAAAAAATTAACACTCGGACGATTGTACGTTAAAATAACGAATACAAAACGTGCAGGATAATGCCGTGTGAACACAATCTAATCGTGAACCCGAAGACGGTACTCCCAGACCACACTCATGTTGCGAAGTCTCTAGTTATCGATAACTGCACAACACTAGATTGACCCGTGTGCAAGTTCCAAATAACACGGCATTGTTAACTGGCAACCAAGTAATAGTGAACTGAATTTCAATTGCACTACGAAGAATATAATTAAAAAAAAAAAAAACAATACAAACCTTCTCGATGCCTCACATAAAAAGCACGCATGAAAACGAAGAACTTAATATTAACTTAATGTAATTTCACAGATGTTTAACCTTCCATGTTCAGGGATATCATTTATTAAATAAAACCACAAAAATCCGATATCTGTACGTTTATTTGACATCATATTCGACATTTATTTGAAATCGACAAATAACGATACAGCAATATTGCTATCAATGAGCAAATACCATTAACACGCTTTCATTTCAAATTGAAATAATAAACACGCTCTTAGTAGATTTTTCGTATTTTTCTAGAGCTATGTTCCTTAAGGCGATCTCGGGTAGGGGTTGAACGATAGAAACCGTTACGTAACATTACAGAACAGACTTCATGCAATCGGAAACAAACTTTAAATACAAGCATGTGATGACTAAATTCCAATGCACATTTCACTGCAAGCGTAGGTTACATACCAATTGAGTACTTTAGTTTACTGTAGAATTATATGTTTAAATCTAGATCCTATAGCAGTTCGCCCTAAGCTCGTCATTACGGATCCTCCCAGATCCATTAACGGTGCTTTTAGGTACCTCAAGCACCGGGCACCGTCCTTGCCGAACCCGTCGCTTGCGACGAAGAGCTCGTGGAGTAAATTAACCCATCGACGCAGCCCACTGAGTTTCTCGTCGGATCTTCTCAGTGGGTCGTGTTTCCGATCCGGTTGTTAAATTCTGCAAAGCATTGCCCTTGCTACGGCCAGTGTTAGCAACACTCCGGTTTGAGCCCCGTGAGCTCACCTATATGTCAAGAAGCTGAAATAGCCTCTCAAGGCTATCAGCATAGGCGGGAAAAAGGAAAAAAATAGCAGTTCCGTTAAGGATGAAATTTAAAAAATCGAATGTACCCGGTATTTTTGGATCTCACAATCAAATTTTTCATTTCTATTTTTTGTGGTAGGTAAGAATTTAAGAAGACGTGAATTGCTTGAAAGCTAGTTCGTGGTAATTTAAAGGTATAATAAGTAAGGGCGTGCATCCGCCATAAGATTGCGTAAATTGAAACAGATCGCGTCTGGAGAATGACACTTAATATGTGAGTCGACTAGTATCAAAACCGGCAATGTGACTTTTGGACAATTACTGGTAAATCAGAAAAACGAATTATTGACTTTGTATTCCATTGGCAGTCGCAAAACTCTTCTGAACGACATCTTAGATAAATAAGAGGTTAAGTATTAACCTTTATTTAATGCAGGTTTTGAACCGTATTCTTTGAAGGAGACAGTTATATTCAAATCAATCTGTATTGACATATCAATAACATTTTTTTGTCCAAATGCACAGATTGCCACCTTTGATAATAGACGACTCATGTGTATCACAAAAAAAGAAATTGTTTTTTTTTTAAATGTTATTTAATATTATTTCGTCCGCGTCCACGAAAACTGTAAATTATTAAGAGGAAATGTCGAAAAAATTAAAACCAAAACAGTCAACGCAAGATTAAACTGTAAAATTAGTATTAATTATCATCAATTTGCTCATAAATTGTATCCCGTAAATTTATATCCGCGACATATTGAATCGCATTTAAGTTTGACCCGTACAATATATACATACGTCTTTATTTGTTCCAAATTTAAAGTTATAAGACTAGAGGTTTTTGATCGTTCTCTAATAATAAATGCGGTAAAAGATTTTGTTTATCATTTATATATGTATATGTATAAAACCAATGAGGGGTCGTGATGAAAAGCTTACAATCAAATCATAAATGAAGCAATAATTTAAGTTGTAATTACAACACAATCTAGTTCACAGAATATAGTTACAATTTCTTAGTTTTTGCATTTTTACTACCTAACAATAAATTAGAAAATGAAATAATTATAAAAGTGCACAAAAAATGTAAACGAAGTCGTCGTGGCCTCAAGGATAAGACGTCCGGTGCATTCGTGTTGAAGCGATGCAACGGTGTTCGAATCCCGCAGGCGGGTACCAATTTTTCTAATGAAATACGTACTCAACAAATATTCACGTTTGACTTGCACGGTGAAGGAATAACATCGTGTAATAAAAGTGAAACCCGCAAAATTATAATTTGCTTAATTACTGGTGGTAGGACCTCTTGTGAGTCCGAACGGGTAGGTACCACCGCCGTGCCTATTTCTGCCTTGAAGCAGTAATGCGACTAAAGATTTACACACGTATCAAGGATGGCTGAAAAATATATATTTTTTTTATTTTGGCCCAATATCCGGAACCAAGACACGCGTGTTCAAGCATGCCATTGTAATTTTAACACTGAATTAATAACTAAATTAATTTACTTGTTTTTAACATCAAGTTTTTGTTGCAACATGAAGTTTTTATTTTTTATTGCTTAAATGCGTGGACGAGCTCACGGCCCATCTGGTGTTAAGCGGTTACCGGAGCCCAAAGACATCTAGACTTCAACATGTGTTCTAAGGTCTCCGTTTTAACAGTACAATGGCTGCCCCACCCTTCAAGCCGAAACGCATTACTGCTTCACGGCAGAAATAGGCAGGACGGTAATACCTACCCGCGCGGACTTACAAGAGGTCCTACGTCCAGTAATTATACCAGTAAGTCACATGACAAGTGTTACCCACATTCAATTATATCCTTGTCACACTGATACACTGTAATTCCAGCACCCAGAGGGACACCTCTTTGCAAATATCAAATCACATTTTTATGTAAACAATTCATTTAAATAGACTGTGCTACGAACAAACACGGCGAAGTTCGGAAAACACATGGAATGGTATAATTATGTCATATCCTAATTTCATAATAATGAATCATGGAATGGTATAATTATGTCATATCCTAATTCCATAATAATGAATACGACATAAATACATATTTAAAAAGTTCAAGAGATTATGTACGCTCTAAATATTTTTTTTAATTATATTTCATTTTGATTTACAGTTAATCTGGTTAGGCTGGCTACACGAAAATCGATTCTGTCAAAATACAATGTAAATTTGTGAATTGGCCATCAATAAACAGCCAATTTTTATTTGTTAACCTGCGTCGAATTTTTTTTTAGAATGTTAACGATTCAGTGTTGCCATTTAAAAAAAAGACGGGAAATTTATCAATGAATGTCAATAGCAATACACATACATAAATATAAAATTAATAATTTCTTTCAATGCATTTGTCCGGTAATTGTTAGTTTAATAAACATATGTCTCGATATCCCGTCTCAAACGAACCGGTCTGTTTTGTAAATGTCACAGATTTAACACAGATTCAGACACCTAACAATGATTTCATGTGAGTCACATAATATCTCAAACATTAAAGATCGAATTATGTTTCGTAGAGGTAAAGTAGGTAGTAAAGTGGTAAGTAGTAAAACGTCGATAAATACATTATATAACTTAGGATGTGAGCGATAGGGTTCAGTTTTCCTTGTTCCGTTGTTTGGCGTCGCCGAATATCATGAGGCACATGGTGGCGTGCAGACACGCGCTCGCCGGAAGGAACTTGTCGTCGAATGAGAGGGCGTACCGGTACATCCATATCGCTCTGTCGTACTCGACCTGGAACGATACTGAATGTACTCGGTTTGAAGGGCGGGGCAGCCGCTGTAGCTATACTGAGACCTTAGAACTTATTTGTGTTGTAGATGTCTATGGGCTTCGGTAACCGCCTAACACCAGGTAGAGCTCGTGACTGTGAGCTCGTCCACACATATAAGCTGTCAAAAAAAAAAAACGAACATGATTAAAATGAAATTGCATGGCCGTCTTGGGAAAGTATAATAAAAATTCAAATTACAAATTGACTTCAAAATTTTAAACTGTGATCACTATGAACATTCAATTAAAAAATTAACTTAAAATTTATGAAATAATTAAAAATATATTAAGATGGTTTTTTGTTCATCGTAAAGGTTCCGCCAATTGTGATTAAATTGACAATCGCAATATGAATTAACTAAATCATTTGTAAAAAATAATTCTCATATTTATTGGATACACTTTCATTTAAGCATTAAAAAAAAAAATAAAAAAAACTCGACATGTTCGCTTCGTTTTCAAATGAAAAAGGCTGTCTTCGACTAATACAAAAGTATTGAAAAAAATATATAAAAAAAATTGTTTGTAAAATCGTTTTACGGACGATAGTTTTACGTTATAACGTCAGTTGCAGAAGCAGTCAGACTGCTAGCTCTGACGTCACGCGAGAAGAGAGATAAATGAGTCACAAGTGAATGCTTGGGCCGATCGTGCCTCTCTATCACTGGTTCCGTGCTCTCGCTTGCACGCTCAGGCTCAAGCGGAACGTAACACTTTTTGGTGCGTGCAGCCGGCGTTCATCGATTTATAACTCGTTATCACGTCAAAAAATGAAATCATTTTTGTAATACAGCTTAAAGATTCCAAATTAAAAAATAATCGTAAACTCACCAGTAAAGTATGAGACAAGGCCACCAAAAACGCTTCATTTTTACTTTTAGGCGAAGAGTACAAAGCCAGATACGATATATCTTTAGCGTCCTTTTGTTTCGATTGCCTGTAAAAGGAAAAAGGATGATAATGTTAATAATAAATTAAGACATTTAAAAAATATATAAATAGTTTTTAAACGACATTTTCAAGAAAAGTTTACATACAAATAATAAAATTCAGACTCATTCAGATTCATGAATAATTTCACCCGTTTCCTTCGTCGTTACAACAAAACTTCGTACCCCTTTTTATATACCCCTTAATATTGCGCGGACGGAGGAGTATCAAATTTCGTAAATTTATAGAAAATATAGACTAGGACTGCAGAATGCATTTAAAAAAAATCTATATATTAATAAATGAATTGCTGTTCGTTAGTCTCGCTAAAACTCGAGAACGGCTGGACCGATTTGGCTAATTTTGGTCTTGAATTATTTGTGGAAGTCCAGAGAAGGTTTAAAAGATAAATAAAATGAAAATGCTCGGAATTAAATAAAAATAACAATTTTATTTTTCCTTTGATGTGTCCCCCGTCAGACGGATTCCTTTTGTTTGTTTTAAGTTTATTTTATACAAAAGTTTAGGTCTTTTATTTATCGATTGAGGCACTACAAAGTCTGCCGTGTCATCTAGTAATTATAATATAGTATTGTGTTCTTACAATTACATATTATCATGTAATTGTAAGCTGAGTAGTAAAATAGTAATAATAATAATAATAAAATAAATGAATAGTAACCATTATTATTATTAGTACTACATATTATTAGTAGTAGTATTAACAATTATGGTTGAATTTCGAGTACTGGGCGACAGTATAGTGTAATAGCGTTTGTTTACATGTGCAGCAGAGCGACGAGCCCGGAGAGCGCGTACGTGTGTGCGTGCGCGGGCGCGTGCGCATGCGCGGCGCACAGGCAGCGCGCGGCGCACGGCCCGCGGCCCCCCGCCCCGCACCACCACCCCGCCCACATCAGCGCCGACCACGAGCTCGGGTGCTGTAAACGTTCATTAACAATATATGCCCGCTGAGTTTCTTGCCAGTTCTTCACAGGACGGAGGCTAGTTTTTGTGAATTGGCGATAGTTCTTTTTGACGTTCAACAAGGTATGTACTTTCATTTATGTTGAATAAAAAAAAAATTGATTTGAATGATTTGATTTGAAGGATAAAAATGCGACTAGTTCGGTTAACAATTATTGGGGCGGATTATCGGAGAACACTAGTCGAAATTCGACTATAATTAATTGAAATTATAAGTTTGTACACTAATAAGATTATTGTGTCAAAGACTATTTATTATACTTCTATAATCACAGATTTCGCCAAGACCACACTTTAGACAAATATTAATAAAGACAAACAATATTAATTAATCTTTTTTTTTAAGAGATTTTATGACCTGGTAACTAAGACCTTTAAGTCATGTCTTATTTTACTTTATATTCTTAATTTTATGAAAAATGATAATATGGAGTGAAATGAAATGAAGATGATTAATTTGAGACATTAATCAACTGGGATGAAATTTAATGAAATGAGATGATATGGGATGAAATATAATCGCAGTAAAATGGTGGTCATTTACTGAGATTTTTTCAGTGGACTTTTTGGAGGAACCCGAGAAGTTACGTCCAGCAGCTTTGTTTCATTTTCCCACATTTGTGCACTTTCACAGATATTAAACAGTTAATAAACCACCATTATTACACATTTAAACCTGAAGAAACACTAAATAGACAAAATAAAACAAATCACACTTCACTCCTCGCGTTCCCGCCAAAAAGTCCATTAATTAATCTACTCTCCATTTGACCACAGACTATAAGCAATAAGAAAAGTTTGACAATAAACAAAAACTCGTAGTACGCATGCATGTGTGTGCCAAATACATGGTGCGTAATGTTTAAAATATTAACATTCTGCACTCCTTCTCTATATTCTCTACAAGTGGGAATATTTCATACTCCTCCGTCCGCGCAATTTTCGTAAAAAGCGGTACAAACTTTTTTGCTTCACGTATTAATATATAGATAATTATTTTCTGCCGAGACTTACAGATTCAACGTATTTGGCGATTTTGGATCCGAGCGTCGTATAATCGTAGAAGTTGAACATCTCGGCGAGCTGATGCATTAGGCTGAACACCGGTTCCCAACCGGCCGTGTCCACGGTTATCATGCGGTCTATGAAGAAGTCCTGTACAGTGGGCGCTCTGCAATCAGGAACTTTTCTTCCGGCCGGTGGAGTCGCTGTTATCTCTTGCACGAGCCTGAAGTGAAAAACTGATCTTAGAGTCTTACAGTTTTATACTTAGTATAGTATGGCGTTGTTTGGGCCCGTGTTAGTATCAATATAACATTTTTAAGCCTGAGTTGGTACCCTGTACTATTTCTGCCGCGAAACGATCAACGCTTACCAGTACCCGGGAATAGTATAACATAAGGATCGTGAGCTAATCATTATCTCTAATTAAAATAACACCATGGCTACATTAAAAGTTTTGATAAATCTTGCAATAATTATGTTCACAAACTGACTTGATTGTTTTAATTCGATCATCATTACCAATTCGCACATTACGTATAATATTTTAGTTTAAGTAGGGCGTACAATAAGCCCTCACGGGTCGGTTCCGCTATCCTGTTTACTTCTGCTGCGAAGTCAGGCGTTGCGGTTCGAAAAGTAAAACAGCCGTTGTACAGTACAATAATTTTAAGTCTTTGACCTCCTTGTGATGGACGAGTTTGTCACCTACAAATTTTTTAGGCAACTGAGTTTCTCGCCGGATCTTCTAAGTGAATCGCGATTCCGATCTGGTGGTAGATTCTGCGAAGCACTTGCTAGCAATGTCTCTCAGGTTGAGCCCGTGAGCTCACCTACCCGTCCGAGCGTAGCTGGAATAGCCTCTTAGGCTACCAGCAAATAGGTAGGGGAAAAAATCACCTACAATGCTTTTAACTCTTTACTATTAACATTTAGGGCAGTGGCGATTAGTCGAAAAAACGTATTTCACAACGACACCGATAACCAATCGGCCACTACTTACCCGAGATCGGCTTCGCTTAGCATCTGTCTAAAACTGACGTGCAACCAATAGCTCAATTGCAAATGTTGATTTGAACAGTCCTCTTCTTCTAGTAATATATTGTCGAGTTGGATTTCAGCTGTAATTAGAATTCGGAACTCAGTTACTTTCTAAGTATTTTTTCACCTGTACCTATCTGTTTATAGATAATTGGACCCTAAAGAAGGCCGATCGCCAACGCATCGACGCACTTGGGTTTGGAGCTGGAGGAAAATGATCGGATCTCATTGAACAGAACGCAGAAGCAACGAATCCATTCTTGCCGAGCTCAAGATTCCGATGCGGCTCAGCAATATATGCGCGCGGAGGAGTTCTGAGTTCTTTGGACACATTGCCGGACTTTTTGGCGGAAACCCGAAGAACAAAGTTGTGTAAATTGTTTTATTTTGTCTATTTAGTGTTTCATCAGTTTTAAATGTGTAATAAAGGTAGTTTATTAACTGTTTAATATCTGTGAAAGTGCACAAATGTGGGAAAATGAAACAAAGATACCTCTAACAAATTGACGCAACATTTCTATTGGTTCGTGCGATATGACGTCATCGTTGGCCAATCACAGCCATCAATGTATGACGCGACGTTGATTCGTTAACAATCTGTTAGGTACCCAAATTAATTTTCAATAGAGATCAACTCACAATAACATCCATCCTTCCCGCAGACGTTCAATGATTTGTCCATGGTCCTCAGCATGGCGTCGTAGTTTTTTAAATGGGCCACCTTATCGGAGGACTCGGCGGGCATGTTCCTTATCACGTGATCGAACACATCCGACTCTATGCGTTCGACATCGGGTCGTTGTGAGTTTTCGTCTTTTAGCTCTAACATTCTAACCATAGCGCCGCCCCCACTCTCTGCGTGTGATAAATTAAAACCGTTTTGATTATGACAAAATGGATTCGTTTCACATTTGTGTACGGTGTCGAAATGTGAATTTGGTAAGAACTATATAACATATTGATGATTGATACCTTTCTAGAACATCTAGAAAACTGCAACCTCAAAATAGCTCCGCATTTCGTAAATAAGAATGCAGAAGCAATGATGTTTTTAAAACCTATTCTAAATTTAAAATAATTGTTATTCTTTGCGATTTATTAAGAATTTTATTGTCAATAAAGATTTTTTGTAATTAAAAAATGTTTTTTTTTTGACCCTTGAAATGTCGACGGCTTAAAATTGAAAGGAAACGCGTATATTAGGATGTTTTTAAGCGTCACGTAATATGCTAGCAAATATTATTTTAAAAACAAATATCAAATATTATTCAAATATACAAGCCATATATATAAGTTAAATATTATTCTAAAGAAAGAAATAGTACCACCACCTTGCCTATTTCTACCGTGAAGCAGTAATGTATTTCATTTTGAAGGGTGGGACAGCCGTCGTGCGGTTAGAACTGAGACCTTAGAACTTATATCTCAATATAGACAGCGACATTGATGTGGTTGATGTCTATAGACTTCGATTACCATTCAAAACCAGGTGGACGGCGGCTCCTCCACCGAACGTAGCAATAAAATAAAAGTTGTGTTCGTATGTGTTAATTTTATTAACGCAGAATATAAATTGAGTATTATATGTATATTTTTTTTTTTTAAACTGGAATCTGTACTTAAATCACACGATGATGTTGAAGTCTCAATTGCATTTGCTTTAACGGCCGTCTGGTGTAGTGGTAAGTGACATGGTCACTACACAAGGGGGTCGCGGGTTCGAATCCCGCCAAGGGAAGATATTTGTATGATAAATATAAATATCTTTTCCAGGGTTATGGATGTATATTAAATATTAAATATATGTATGTGTATAATAAAAATCTTACATTTATATTCATTATCTGGTACCTGTAACACAAGTTCTTTACGAACTTATCACGGGACCAGCTAACGTGGCGTGATTGTTAGTAAATATTTATTTATTATTATTTATTATTTATTTAAAGATGGTTCAAAACCGAAACGCATAATTGTTTCGTTGCAGTAAAATGGTGGTACACGGCATAAATAGGCAGGGCGGTTATACCTACTCGTGCGGAGTCACAAGACGTCCTACCTATCAGCAATTACGCAAATTATAATTTTTGCGGATTAAATTTTTAGTACACGATATTATTCCTTCACCGTGGATGGCATTCGTGAACATTTGTTAAGTACGTATTTGATTAGAAAAATTTGTATCTGGTAGCGGGATTCGATCACCGGCCCAGTAGCATTGTTCGATACGAGTGCACTGGACGTCGTATCCGTTAGGCCAAGATGACTACAAACTTAAAATGTACGGGTGAGTCGGTTGCAAAGTCGGAATTACTGGTGGTAGGACCTCTTGTGAGTCCACGCGAGTAGGTACCGCCACCCCGCCTATTTCTGCCGTGAAGCAGTAATGCGTTACGGTTTGAAGAGCGGGACAGCTGTTGTAACTATACTGAGACCTTAGAACTTATATCTCAAGGTGGGAGGCGCATTTACGTTGTAGATGTATATGGGCTCCAGTAACCACTTAACCTGTCCACCCATCTAAGCAATAAAAAAAAACACTATTTAAGAGCACATACTTCAGTAGCGGATGTTAACTCACCGCGTTCACGGCTACTAAAGCATTTAACGTTGGACATTTGACAGTTGGAGCCGTCCTTTTCGCAGACCATGTTCGTTCCCGTCTCGACCCGAGAACAAACCTCACCCTCCTCGAGTTCTATAGGCAAAGACAAGGTTATAATTACAAATAAATAATAGTTTAAAAAAAATAACAAAATAATACGCTTTTATAGAAAATCCACAACGCTTTGTTTACAATAAAATAATTTTTTTCTTACACTATTTTTAATTCAAATTTATTAAAATTTATTTTCTATTCTTTAGTTGGATTTTCTATAAAAGCGTATTTTGTTAGTTTTTTTAAACTATTATTTATTTTTCATTGTTTAGTTGAATTTCAATTTCATCAAATTATTTTTTAAAATATTGCATTGTCATAGGTCCTTAATAAGTATACCAAATTTCGAGTTAATCCGACGTTTTAAAGGGGGTCAAAATCGTGTTCAAAGATTCCGTTACATACTAACATACATACGTCTGAATCTAATAAAAGCGTATTAGGTAATTAGTTAACCCTTTCACTGCCGTGTAGGTCACCGGTGCCCTACGTGGCGGACTGAAGTAATTGTGTAGATTTCTGTTCTTTTGCATGATTAATAAATTTAGACCAATATCAAAAAGCTCAACAACTTTATTTCCTTGATGATTTTATTACTAGTTCGAAATCTAAATTTATGACTATTGTCTATGTTTTCTTTTCTACATAAAAGTTTTAATACATACCCACTTCGTTCACAGTGTTAACTTGCTTTAGTATACAAGCCCATCCGATCAAAAGTTTCCGAACGATTCCTCCCATAAAAGAGGGTTCTACTCTTAAAACTTGCTTCAAGTGAATCAAATGCGTCTTCCGATGTTTATTAATCATATTCAATTCTGCCAGTATAAAGTTTGTTGCTGGCTAAAATAAAAAATAAAAACTCTTTGGTACTTTATTCAAGATTTTTTTGTTATATCTAAAAACATCTACGTTTTTCTTTATTCAAACATATTCTAGAACGATTTTTGAAATACAATGAGCACTTACATAAATTTTATGGCTCGCTTAAGTTTATTAAACAAAACCAGCAATGAACGACAAAATCAAAGCGGCGATTTTTTTTTCTCTTTTGTTTTCTGAATCATGGCGATCTGTGTTAATACAATAAGTATTTTAGTTGAAGACCTATAGATTTTAAGCTATCATTTCATCATTCATTAAAACTACATCTTTGCACCATATCGAAAACTTTTATACATATTTTGCTATATTTTCTTGTAGCATCATTAAATTATTTTGTGTGTTTTTGACGACCCACCTCAAACAGACTCAGTCTGAACGCTTCTTCGGCAACGGTGAAGGCCTCGTCGAAGTACCCCATCTCCAGATATATCGACGCTACTGAAGTCAACACTATATCTCTGTATTTATTTTCGACAGTCCTGCCGGCGTTGAGGAGGCAGTGTAAAGCGTTTATGTTGTTGCTTCGCACGCGCCAGTACAGCGATGACAACGTGTACAGGATCCATTTCGGCGCTAGTTTCTGAAAGCAGGATGTGTAAAATTAAAACCAAATTACGAAAAAATCTTTATAAAATACTTTGAATTGACATGCGCTGCGAGTTGAGGCTCATCGAATTACACCTTATTTGGAAAATTACTTTACTTTAAAGACAAACATTTACCCCTACATACATATATTTACACACTGTTCGAGTTATAATGCCCTTTCGGATGTTTTATTTATTTATTACGTAGACGGACGAACCAGTACTTGGCTCCCCTAGTGTTAGGTAGTCGCCAGAGGCTATCATAGCAGCTATCTGCTCATAGCAGCCGTTATACCATACAGTTTCAATTGCGGGGTATAGCGGCTGCCTCAGCCTTCAATCCGGAAATAATGCGTTCCTACTAATGCTTCGTGATTGAATAGGGAGCGTACTTATCCGAGCGGGCTCACAAGACGCCCTACCACGAATATGACTTCGTACTAATTATATCTACAACTCGCGAAAACCGAAGAAAATCATAATGAAATATGTTTATCTGTAGGATTTTTTTTATCCGAACCTTAAGATTGTACTATAATAAAAAAAAAACTGCGTGACGTAACATAAATACATAATTTATCCTTAGTGGATTCAACCGTTGTTTCAGCATCATTAATCTTGTAACTGTCAGTGATTGAAATCTGACGGTATTTCGTCACAACGCTGCTATCAACGGTCGCTAGCAATGCTTTAGTACTGGTGGTAGGACCTCTTGTGAGTCCGCAAGGGGAAGGTACAACCACCCCGCACATTGCTGCCGTGAAGCAGTAATGCATTTCGGTTTGAAGGGTGGGGCAGCCGTTGTAACTATACTTGAGACCTTAGAACTGATATCTCAAGGTGGGTGGCGCATTTACGTTGTAGATGTGTATGGGCTCCAGTAACCACTTAACACCACCAAAATCGTTGATGACCAAATGTTTGAACCGTTTCCAAATACCTTCTGCATGGCCGCGTATATCCTCTGTCCGATCTCCGCGTCCTGCATGCGCTGCGCGGCGGCGAGGTCTCCGTCCGCGACGTACTCGTGCAGCTTGCGGCGCAGCGGGCCCACGCCGGCCACCTCGCTCGAGAACTGAGGCCTGTAATGTTATACTGCAAAAGGAATTCCGATTTTGATATTACGTTTGTTCCATGAAGAATTTTAGAGATTCGTTAGTTGTGGAAAAGAACGTTAATTATCTATGTAATTGTCTATGTAAAGTTTGTAACTTATTGAGTCGATTAAGGGACTTTTTGACGGGAACGCGAGGACTGAAGTTGTGTGATTTGTTTTATTTTGTCTATTTAGTGTTTCTTCAGGTTTAAATGTGTAATAACGTTGGTTTATCAACTGCTTAATATCTGTGAAAGTGCACAAATGTGGGAAAATGAAACAAAGCCGCTGGACGTAACTTCGGAATCCTTCAAAAAATCCACTGAAAAAATCTCGGTAAATGACCACCATTTTACTGAGATTATATTTCATCCCATATCATCACATCTCATTTCATTTCGCTTTCATTTCTTGCCATGCTTCATTTTAATTAACTTCATTTCATAATATGTTTTCACAATAAAAAAGTTTTCATTCAATTAAAATAAGTCTTGACCTAAAGGTCTTAGTTACCAGGTCATAAAATTTCTTTAAAAAAAAAATGACTCGATTAATATAACAGTATATATGACTGTAAAATGATACTACGACCTAAAATATATATTTTGCGAGCTAATCATACATCTGTTAGGAGGTAGCGTTTTAGTTTGAAGAGGCGGATAGATATACCGCTACATACAAAATCTACGTGGCGGTTCAAGCACACATTCCGTCGACTACGAATGGTAAACAATTGGTAAAATAGCATAACTATTATAGTTTTATAACTCGGAAAAATAATCATTTTGAATATCTAGAATGAAGACAGAAGAATCATAAGTGCAGTATCTGCTGGCACGCACTACTAACAGTTCTGACAGGCAGATTTCTGACAATGCGCAATCGGTTTTAGATAGAGAATGCGGTATCATTTAAAAGATTATATTAGATACTAACTTGACTTTCTTTTGTGTGAATAGTGTGATATCCTTATCCGGCGGGCAGGTGGGGGGGTGCCAAGGCAGCTCATGCTCCACGGAGGCCGGAACTCCTATCATATCCGTCAATAGAGTCATCAGCCTGTTGAGAGAAATACAAGGTCATCATCGTACGACGAAGCGACAGCACATTATCAAGTACATTGTTACACACATAAGTAGGGCATTAAAAAAACGTCTAATATAAATTATGGTTGTATATAGTAGTGTGGTAGTCAACGCTGTGGTTCGATCTCAGGGTAGATATCAATTTTATTAAATCTCTAATGACAACTTCCAAAACGCACTGGTGATGCGAAATAGGGTCGACACGATATCATCAAAAGCCTAAAGGATAAATCGCCCGGTACATGCATAAATATTGTACGTACTTAATAAATATTCACGACTGAGTTCCACGTTACTGGTCGTAGGGTGTCTTGTGAGTTCACACGAGTAGATACCGCGGCCCTGCCTATTTTTTGCAATGCGTTTCGGGTCGCAGGGTAGGGCAACAATTGTACCGTAAAAACTGAGACCCTATGACTCTTGTCTTTAGGTGGGTTACATTTCAGATGTCCATGGGCTACAATAACCACGTAACACTAGATGGGCCGTGAGCTCGTCTCCCTAACAAAAAAACAAGAAGTCAGGCATTCCGCTACGAACCTAACCCGACCCGTCACTAAGCGAGCGACCCCATTACCATTCTAAAGAACGTCGTTTGAATATTAACAGAAAAAAAAATATAAGTCCTGGAAGACGAGCAAGTAATACCTGATTCCTTTATTTTCAAATGGCATAAACGTCGGATATATAGCCTCAAGATTCTCGGGGAAGTTTGGAGAATTCTCTTTACAAAAATCCGTTGAGGGCCAATCAGCGTCGACGTCGAAATCTTGATGATTCCTATTGATTTTTATTGTAGGCGGATACCTGAAACGATATTCAGTATTTTAAATTGAATACATAAGAATAGTCGTATTTCATAACGACATAGGTTGGCGTTTTTATAGTTTCTAATTTAAATTTCTCTAATTAAATTAACCCCCCTTTAACTATGGCTGTCAATGTCAACGGACGAACGAAGAGAAATTTTCGTGAGAGGCACAAACATAGATCTATGTAACCTCCATATGATTTATAAAGAGGTTAATATGTTATACATGTGACATAAATGTTAATTTGAATATTGAAACATTAGAAGGAGCATAAAAAATTTAAAAACATTTTTGAATTGTAAAATATAAAAAAAATCAAAACTGGTGAAGCAATAGCTTTAATTAAAAATAATCTGAAAACAAATTTTAAAGATGACCCACTTAACTCGCAATAATAAATTATAGATAAATAAATTAGTAACTTACATCATTACACCAGTTTCGAACGGAGAAGTTTCACTTTCTTTTTTATTCTGACCTGGTTTTCTTTCGTTGTTCTTTCGAAATTCTGCCGCAGCCAAAACTTCAATCAGTGTCTTTTCTGTGGAACATTTTTCATAGTTTCAATTGTTTTATTGATTATTTATTCTATTTCTATTCTATTCTAATACAATAGTTAAAAAAAACAGTAATTACATCAGCGGCCTAGCGGCTAATATAAGGTGCAATTTCTTTAAATTAAGTATTCACTAACTGTAAACAGGTGATCAATATAGTTTATTTTCTGATTCGAACAAAAATTTGGTGTAAAAAAACTTGAAGGGACGTTTCTGACAGAGTATTGGTTCAATATGTTTAATAGTACATATTTATATTTTCAAACTGTACCTTTGCGCGTCTCCATTATCATTCATGTTTTCAATTAAAATAATCTACCTTTCATTTATATATTTACTAGATGACCCGGCAAACGTTGTTTTGCCATATATAAGATTTGTAGGGAATTTCTAGGGTAGAAAAATAAAAAAACTAACTTATTTTAAGTGTGTAAGGGTGTGGTAAATGAGTTAAAGAGGCATTTAGCGCTGTGAACGATGAGGAAATATAAAAATAACAAAACCTCATTCACAACCACATAATGCAAATAATAAGTAGTCGTCGTGGCCTAAAGGATAAGACGTCCGGTGCATTCGTGTGTAGCGATGCACCGGTGTTCGAATCCCGCAGGCGGGTACCAATTTTTCTAATGAAATACGTACTCAACAAATGTTCACGATTGACTTCCACGGTGAAGGAATAACATCGTGTAATAAAAATTAAACCCGCAAAATTATAATTTGCGTAATCACTGGTGGTAGGACCTCTTGGGAGTCCGCACGGGTAGGTACCACCACCCCGCCTATTTCCGCCGTGAAGCAGTAATGCGTTTCGGTTCGAAGGGTGGGGTAGCCGTTGTAACTATACTGAGACCTTAGAACTTATATCTCAAGGTGGGTGGCGCATTTACGTTGTAGATGTCTATGGGCTCCAGTAACCACTTAACACCAGGTGGGCTGTGAGCTCGTCCACCCATCTAAGCAATAAAAAAAAAATAAAAAAAAAAAAATGCCTTATTATAACCAAAAAAAATTACCAAAAAATAAAAAATAAATGTTAGGGGTGGACAACCCTAGTAGAAATTTTATATGCATGCTCAGTAGGTCGACTCTCAGACCTACTGAACATGCATATAAAATTTCTAATAAATAATATACCATAAACCATAAAAATCGGTCAAACCGTTTCAGAGGTAACTAACATTGTGACATGAGAATTTTATATATAAGATATTTATTTTTTTACACTAACAAAATTTTAAATTACCTTTCATATCTGTATAAATATCAGGGAATATAGGTGTTGGACCAATCTCTTTTAATACTTCCACTTCAGCTACTTTCAGTTTCTCTGGTCGGATTTTCAGTGTTGCTTCCTTCGGCGAATTCTGCCGGATGTGTTTGACCAGTTTCTGGAGATTCCCGGCCGATTCTATTGCGAGTACACCTTTCTCCTTCAACCATTGATCATTGTACATCGGACTGTCCAAGAAATATTGGAGCAATGAGTTTCTGTCTCCTTGTAGTTTCAGTTCTTTTATTTTTAAACCAGTTATATTGGTCATCTTTTTACAATTATTGTCTATATTTCGGTAATCTGGAATAAAGTTACAGTTTAAAGAAAGTGTTTTTTTTTCGATTTAATCTTTTTTTTACAGGTAATGCAGCTGCAAAGGCAGTGCTCGTTGGGGAAGCGTGTATAGAGAGACTTCTGTCCTCTCTGCGTTTTGAAAACTCTACCAACTCACTTCTACCAATGCAGCCTCTGCCACTCTGGCATAGTTTATGCGCACTAAAACCACAGTATTTAGTACCACATACCAGCAGATTTTTTATATTAAAAATGATACATTACTTTGTTATTCCACTAAAAGGTAAATTCCCTAATAAGAATCAAAATCTAGAAAATAATTAAAGAAACTTGGTCTAGATTTATAAGTTGATTATTATTTTTATCGAACCCGAAAGGAACGACGAATCGAACGGTCGCCCATGACCATTTTTAATTATTATTATTGCTAAGGGTGGACCAACTCACACTCCACATGGTGTTAAATAGTTACCCGAAACTATAAGATCTAAGTAGCAACTGTATGGTGTAACTGTCTGCAGATGTTGGGAGCAGACCGCGGGCCCAAGAATATTTTTAGAGCCCTACCGCATGGTATAACAGCTGTCCTAAACTTCAAACCGAAACGCATTACTGCCTTACGACAGAAATATGCAGAGTAGTGGTACATACCCGTGCGGGCTCACAACACGCCCTGCCACCAATTGAAACAACCAACCATGAAAACTTCAATGTGAGCCGAAACCTCGGAAATAATATAATGACAATGAAAACGCGAGATTAAGATAGAAATGTGGTTTTACACGACTTGAACAACACACCAAATTCTTCTTCATGTTTCATTGTCCTCAAAAACGCAGCTTGACTTTTCAGCCATTCACTCTCTCTTCTTGCATATTCTGTTAGCTCTTGGCGGAGTTTTTGCAGGGTTCTGTAAAAAATATATTATACATAATGATACATTCTACTTCTACTTAATTAGTTTTTACAAAGACTTTTCAGTACTTATCTATCTATTTTTTTACTTTTCTATTTAATCGTGGGAGGGTATCTAAATACCTAAATATCTAAATTTTTTCCATTATATCTAAATATAATGGAAAAAATTCCAAAAACTTACAAATAAGGTATATATTACTTTATATTTTCTCGTTTATGTGGCAGATATGTGTTAAAGTCGCAATGCACGACAATACAGAGGATGTAAATATGACCGGATTGTTGGTCAGAAATTCTCGTCTTTTGACTGAAGACTGACAGCCTATATAAATCGCTATTCAGTCACCCGCTGTTAATAGCCAAATCTTTCTTCATCGAACAATGTCACTAGGTCCCACTTGACTTTGTAAAGCTAATGATGCTTTAGAAGGATTCTTGAATTTAAACATTCAATGTCTCATCACATGACTCTTCTATCATTCTTGATGCAAATAGATTAATGTAAAAGACTAACACTTACTCCTTTAACTCTTCAATTGTATCAGACACATAAAGGTGACATAAAACTGCAATTTTATGTCGCACTGCCAATTCAAAAGTAGGATTCAGTTTGAGACACTCAGCGAAATGTTTTAAGGAACTATTGAAGTCACCGAACACAGCATAGGCATTGGCTAGAGAGAAATGATTGTATGTGAATGTCGGATCGTGATCAGTAGCTGCTCTGAGAACTACTATAGCATCTTCGGTCCTTTTGCTGCGGTGAAGTATTGTACCCATGCTCAATAAAGCTATGTCTTTATACTTTCTAAAATGTAAAGAAGAAATGTGTATCTTTAATTAGGAACATTTGTACTTATCAGCACTAAAAACCGTATTTTAATTTAATTTATTGAAATATAGGAATGAAAAGGTATGTATGTAAAGGTATAACTAAATTTCATACAATAAACGATTATTTAAAAAAAATTGTTTTATAATATTGCAATATTATAATGTTTCTGGAGATAAAAAAATAAGTTGCAGATTAAAAATAATATTATGTTTTATTAATGTACATTTTATTTGACAAAACAAAATCTTTTGATAACGATAGTAACTAGCCTATTTATTAATAATTAAAAAGTCATGACAAAAAATTATCACCGGATAACCACAATTTTTTTATCAAATCTATGAATACTTGAAAATTTATGTTCATATTTGCATCACAAAATCTAACATCTACAAATAGAATATATAATACCGAAAACGAAATTTTAATTGCAAGACAACTCAAAATCCTTGTGAGTTATTTAAGTAAGTAGGCAAGAAGCAAGTTAAAGTACTAGCCAGATTTTTTTTTGGTAAATAATTAAAAACATATTCATAAGAACCTTAACAACTATGAATGTAACCATTACCCACTGTAAAAGTGTTAGTACAATCAACAATTGTACTTTTTTTATTGCCCTTGTAAGCAGATGATCATACAGCCCACCTGATGGTAATTGGTTACCGTTGCCCATGGACGTCAGCAATGCCAGGGGCGGAGCCAAGCCGCTGCCTACTGTTAATTATCCTACACAAGCCTCGTTTGAAAAAGGAACGAGTTGAACAATACCTAATTTATTATATTATAATGCAAGCTTAATTTAATACATGTACTTACCTAGGAGCATAATGAACAGCTCTTCTGCTGCACTCCATAGCTTTAGGTGCATTTCCTTTTACTCTCCAATATAGAGAAGCCATGTTATAATGAAGCCAGGAAGAGTTATTCCGCCTTAGCATTGCTGCAAGCCAGTGACCAAATGGATCAACAGTCATAATGGGAGTTATTTGTTCTGGGAGTGACAGTTCAGGATCAATTGATAAATTCTCTCTTTGATTCAAACCCTGAAATGAATATCAAACACCATAAAATCAGTTTTTAAAACCACAAAAAAAAAGTTTCTACAATTTACATTTTATCATATCGACGCTTGAAAGGCAAACATGACTAAGGGACAATAACTGCGTTATACATAAATGATAGGCAATAACCATATTCAATGCGCAAAAAAAATATATTTCTAAGTCTATTAAAATCAATCCTAGAGCTAGATTCGTTAAAATAGATTTTTTTTTTTTTTTCATGTATTTCAACTTTAAATTAGTCTACTGTAAAGTTCACGCATTGTCGCTTAGTCACGTTTGCCTTTCAAGCGTCGATATAATCATAACACATTTTTAAGCAAAAATTATACTTATATAAGCCACTACAAAATTAATTAAAACTTTGTGTAATGATAATCTAATAAAATGCATGATGCTTGAGAAAATAAACTACAAACCTCTAAATGCTCAAAGGCAAACATGCTAAATGTCAATGAAGATATCTTTTTACAATCAGGTACATCGGTATCTCCATAATCAGTCTCTCTAAGTAAAAAATCCTCATCGGGTACTCCTTTCGATTTGCCATCTTCTAAGAATGATGTATACCAATCTATAATATTCAGCTGTCCCACTCTAACACAGTGTTGATTGGAAGTGAGTATAGTTGTCACTTCAGTACCCTTTTCAATGTCAAGCCAAAGCTGATCAATGATTTGTTGGCGGTTATATAAATCATAATACAGGTTGTGGATGTTATCCCATCTCGTGTCTTGATTTAAGAATGCTAATAGATCATTGGGATGTTCCATTATGAATGGAGAGTCAGCCTGTAAGTTTGATGTTTCAGTAATTTACTTTAGCAATTGTTATTCATGATCTTATCTAATTTAAAATATACAAAAAAAAACAGAAATAGTGTGCTGAAATTGTTTAAAGAATGTTTTAACTCTTTGAGGTCCAGAGTCCACACATGTTAGACATATAGTTTAGTCTTATATTAGTCTTAAAATCGCGAAGGGTTAATATTCATCAATAATTTCATATTAATTTTTATACAGATTATACTGTTTTAATTTTAAATAATAATCTTAAAATGTTTAAGTAGGCTAAAGCATAGGTCATTGGTTAAAATCTCCTTTTAAATTGATTCTTTTAGATTTTAATGTAGCAGATGGGCATCTTACAAACACTGCATAATAATAAGAATAACAAAATAACAATTTATGAGTAAAGAACTCATAAATTATTATTTATTTTTAACTACAGTCAAACCTGGATAAGCGAGAGTTCAAGGGAGCACAAACTCATTCTCGCTTATAGAGGTTTCTCACTAACCCAAGTTTCTCGCTAATGATCCCTCTGAATTTCATTTCGCGATTTTCCAGATTCAAACGCATTAACTATTTTAAGTGATTTGATTTGATTTGATTTGATCAACGATAAACTGAGTAAGTCCGACAAACAGGATGGTACAGAAGCATGTGTCCATTCGAAAATAATGCGATAGTATAACAACGTTATTTAGTTCCACGAAATAGAATAGGTTCAATATTGACGAGAAAACAATACAAAAACAATGGAAGAAAGTTCCACAAAAGTTAAGAATGAGTCATAAAATAGCAGATGTTAAATTTGTAATTTATTTTTTCATTTGTTCTTCCTAAGTAATATAAATAAATAAAGCTCGACTGTCGCTTATAGAGGTATAGATAAGTAGCAGTCTCACTTACGGAGGTCCATGAGGGAAAAACGACTCTCTCTTACAGAGGTTTCTGTTTCTCGCTAATAGAGGTTTTGGGAGCTTAAAATGACAGTTCCTGGCTATTACTCTCACTTATAGAGTTTTCTCACTTATCCAGTTCTCACTTACCCAGGTTTGACTGTATATTGATCAGTAAGACCCAGAATAGAATAAACTGACAATACTATGATATAGTGATTTCACCTAGCATCCATGAATATTCTAGTTAATTATATATATAATTATAGTATAATTCTAGTTCATTTTTAGATGGATATACGCCACAAGCTTTCTGGCTTAAATTTATAAAATTATTTTCTATGCTACAAATTTTATTATACAGATGTTGGTATATTATTAGATATTTAAGTATATAGTCACAGGTGTCTAATAATTCGATATATATACATATATATTAGATAAGTTGATGGTAATTTCTGAAAACGTTTTACAAGGCATGAGTCTGATTTTTTGTGGAGGAAGGAAGAAACATGGGGATTTATTTGTGACTTACTCGAGGTTGTATCAGTCCCGTTTCAGTAACCATCCAGTGTGTGGCAATCGTCGTTGCATGAACGGTACACAAACCGAATAACCATAAAAACTTAATGTAGTTCATTTTGAAAATATTGAAAGCACTGGTCTGCTTCACATAATATAACGTCGACCACGGTTTTCAATACACATACCAAATTATTTCACACAATTTTAGAACTGTTATTCGAATATGTTATGAAACCGTCTCAACGCTTTCAGAGCATTGCTATTGCCATTTGCAACTGTTATTAATAATACAAACCAAGGCAAGGCAATGTTGTTCCGACTTGACTATATTAAGTGTATAATCTATGGACTTGACTGTCAAATTAGAGCTGCCATGTAGAAAATTGAAAATTGCCGTATCTCGAAGTCTACAAGAAGCAGTATAATAACTGAACTGACTTAACAAGATTTAGAAAAAATTGATAGCTTATGCCGGCCACTGACATGCGCGCAAACATTCGTACAATGCACGAATATTTGCGCGCATGTCAGTGACATCATGCGTCAAACATTCATTCGCAAACCTAGCGGCTATGCAAATGGGTTCGCATACTCAATTTGCGAACCCGTTTGCGCTTCCTCCTACACTTGTTTACGAATGTCTCACGAATTTCTCCTCCTTTTCAATTCGTCAATAGAGCATTGAAGAGAAAAAGAGTCTTGAATTCTTTCCCAGACATCATTAACAGCCATGCTGTTTTTATGGGATTTCTTTTGATGAAGATACGCTACACAGTAGACGTCACGAACTATGAAAATGGCGATAGGCGATACGTCCGTTACCTTCGCAATCGTCGGCGCAACTGGGCAAACGAATGTGTGGGAGACTTCGCGAAGGTTCGCGGTTCGCGCGCTTTGATGTCTGTTAAAAAACTGACACAGCTTGGAAAACCACGAATGCAGCGAAAACTTTGCATAATCATTTGCAAATGTCGTCCCACACTTGCGGGTTTGCGTATTCGTGCCCATGTGAGTGACCGGTGTTAGTGTAGAGGGTCTCCCGACTATTCCAGTAAGAAAACTTCTGTCAGAGGGCTCAATAGTATTATTTGAATAATTTCAAATTATGAGGAACATAGTGATTGAGAAAAGATAGATGGATTTTGGCTTTAATATTCAAAATATAATTTGGAACTTTTTTGAAAGGGATTAGTTTATTCAGTCTAACATTACATGTAAGAGAAATGCATACAGACAGTTTGTTTTTTACTAATAAAATTTATATTTGCTCAAAACAATTACCGTATAAAATGTATCAGGTTTTTAAACGATATTTCTATATTTCAGACAAAGAATGCTTGTTTAACGTTTATTAATATGTAGATTACGTACCTACGTTAAACACTTTCCATCGATTTTTTTTTTTTAAAGATTACGCTGATTCATTGGGAAAACTGAAAAGCTGGTAAGGTACTATAGATTAAACACTGATATACTTTATGGTCCAGGAGCCAGGAACAATTTCGGTCAATTATTTCTTCTCGAGCGAAACTTCGTAAAATGCATTAAGGACCTATACTATGAATACTCGCGACCGTCAGCTGCGACTCCGTGGGTGGGGCGGGTAATGGCAGCCTGCCACGCATGGAAAAAAAATTTTTTTTAGTCATTTCCTCCCACTTGAAAATTTGTCAGAATAAAGTTATCCTAGTATTTTGAAAGAAAAAAAAGTCAGCTGACCGTAATATGGTGGATTATACGTCAGCTGACTGCTTGAAAATGAAAAAAATATATTTATATTTTCAAGGATTTCCTCTCAACTAAAAATTTACCTGATGATCGTTTATATACTACTATGAATGAAAATTAATGTCAGCTTGCTGTATCTCAGTGGAAACTTTGTCAGCTGGTACCTTGAAAGGTGTAACGCAGCAGCATCTATCACCTACTGAATCTTATCAGCTGACGACTTTTCCCTTGACTTACAGCTAGCTGATTTCTTTCATTATTTACTAGAGTATGTCAACAATCCTCTTATAAATTTTTGTCCGGGAGGAAATAACGTTTCTTAAGTTATTTTTTCTTTATATATTACGTTGGGATCGAATCAACGCCCCGACGTCACCTTCTGCGAAATGGTAACCCTCAGACATAGCCCACTAAGTCTCTCGCCGGATTTTCTTAGTGGGTCGCGTATCCGATCCGGTGGTAGATTCTGCGCAGCACTGCTCTTGCTGAAGCTAGTTTTAGCAAATTCGAAACGTTAGAGCCCCGTGATCTCAACTACTCACTCGGTGAATCCAGTATAACCATTGAGTTACTAGAATAGGTAGGAAAATAATAATTGAAGTATATATATATATATATGTATATATATTTCGAATCAATGCTTTTTAAGCTCAAATTGTGCTTTAATGTTGGCAACTAAACCAAACTTTTCTAATGATGTTAGGACATATTGTAAGCCCGCACCTATAGGTACCACCATCCTGCATATTTCTAGCGTAAAGCCATCGTGAAATAAAGGACTGACCAGCCCTTTTACAATACAGTTAAAAGTTCGACCTCTAGACCTGGACTAACACCAATAGCGTAAATAAATCGTCTCGTCCGAATGTTTGTAGTATTTATTTTTGTCACGCTGGCAAACTAAGTTTTCACTGTCACTTATTATTTTAAGGAAGAATGTGATTGCCAATGTGAATGTAAACCTAACAGATTTTTTAATGTTTTTTTTTATTGCTTAGATGGGTGGACGAGCTCACAGCCCACCTGGTGTTAAGTAGTTACTGGAACCCATAGACATCTACAAAATAAATGCGCCACCCACCTTGAGATATAAGTTCTAAAATCTCAGTATAGTTACAACGGCTGCCCCACCCTTCAAACCGAAACGCATTGCTGCTTCACGGCAGAAATAGGCAGGGCGGTGGTACCTACCCGCGCGGACTCACAAGAGGTCCTACCACCAGTAACAAAAGGTCCTACCACCAGTAACAAGAGGTCCTACCACCAGTAACAAGAGGTTATACCACCAGTAGCAAGAGGTCCTACCACCAGTAACAAGAGGTCCTACCACCAGTAACAAGAGGTCCTACCACCAGTAACAAGAGGTCCTACCACCAGTAACAAGAGGTCCTACTACTAGTAATACAAGAGGTCCTACCACCAGTATGTATATCACCAGATGTATATCAAAATGTAATTGAGCTCAGACGCTGCCACGTTTTGTGTGTAGTGGCACTAAACTCAAATTCGGATAATGAAAAATACCTGCTGCAACATTTTTGTCTTAGTAACGGGTTAATGTTAGACCGAGGATCTCTAAATGTCAATGAGAATCTTGAACGTCATGATTCCAAAGGTCATATCTGCAGGTGTACACATTCGTAGCTTCCAAATACCAACGCACACAGCTTGGCTTACATATATTCCATCAATTTTATTAGTTAATTAATAATTTGATTATAAATGAGGAGCTCAATTTGTCCTTCATTTAATAACTAGATGGAGCCCTGCAAAGAACAATAGTTAATCGAATCATAGAGTGGGTACAGTAATACAAACACTTTCTACAGAAAAGCGGGGGAAAAAAACTAGAAAAACCACTAACAAAACACAAGCGTCTTTCTTATGTTCTAAAGATGCGAAACTATTTTAATATTCTTTTAGAAAAGGTTTTAGTAAAGTTAACAGTTTAATAACATGATATTATTTAACTACTATTTTATTAATTCAAAATATACAAAATTATAATCATAGATATGTTACCTCTTTCATTTATAACTTTATATTGATTTTTCGTGTCGAATTCATTATTTTTTGATTAATTAATTTTCGAGCAAAATATCGAAATTCAAGTGATTTCACGCAATGCTCCCACGTGGAGTACCGCAGGTTCGAAACCGAGGACGTCCATATAAAATATCCTTATTATTATGAGTTTGTTGAATATTTATTAGTGAAACAAAATAAAGTAAATGAATAACATATGTTTCAAATTTTCTGGTGATCTTCACAAGTGATGCCTTTCAATCATTCATTGCTTAAGTTCAAACAATAATGTCTACTTTTTGTTCTAACGCTAAATTTATGTTTTCTATCCGGGTATCTTGAAAGCAACATGAATACGAAATCTTCAGGGGTAGTAACCCCTAAGCTGCAGTGCGCATGTCCAAATAGCCTCATTTATGCACGGTTATCCACACGCGCTTATTATTTCATAATATAAAACCAAAAGCACAAAAGCAGCTTTAACTGTTTTATGTTACAAAAATTCAAGATGTGTCGTTACATAATAGCGTTTTACAATCGTTACAAAAACAAAATGTATTGTTCCACGTTCGTATTTAATGATGACACCGCGAGTTANCAGTGCGCATGTCCAAATAGCCTCATTTATGCACGGTTATCCACACGCGCTTATTATTTCATAATATAAAACCAAAAGCACAAAAGCAGCTTTAACTGTTTTATGTTACAAAAATTCAAGATGTGTCGTTACATAATAGCGTTTTACAATCGTTACAAAAACAAAATGTATTGTTCCACGTTCGTATTTAATGATGACACCGCGAGTTAAATGTGTAATAGATAACAGGATTATGTGAAAAGTGTTGTGTGTAAGAGAAAATGGTAAATGACGCACAATTAAAATCGCCACCAAAATCGGATGTGCACGGAGCGATACGCACAGACAATGATGTAAATATTGATAGGGGTGTTAAAATATTGGAGTACAAGGTGATCAGTGATGATATACAAAAACTTAGAATAAAACAATATAAAGAAGATACTTTACAAAAAAAATTGAACATACTTAAATTAAAATCAATTTTTTTCCCGAATATCGAAATATTAACTCGATCAGATCTAAACATCTAAAATTTTCAATTATTAGAGACCACGTGTAAATGAAACTAATTATTATTTTTGTTACTGAAATTATTATTAGTTTTATTCTTCCATTGCATCCGCGTTAACTTGATTAATTTCCATTTGAACATAGTCGAAATGGAAATTTATCAGATACATTACCTGCATTTCAGACTAAGAAAGATTAAACATATATATTTATATATGTATTATTTACGTATATAATATAGGTATTATTATACATATATTTTATTATAAAGCATAATCGTAAATTTTGGATAGACTGAAATTTTGTAATAAGTTAATTTCGATGACTAGACTAAACCTTTCTTCAATTTAACTGGATCAGAAACTGGCATTCACTTAAAAAAGGTCTAACACATCATAATAATACAACAAAATACTATTCTATTTCAGGGCATACTCTGGACATGTGGTTTGCGACAAATATGTTTAGCTGCATTATGGCTTCCGCTGGGTGCTTTAATATTTTGTTACGTGACAGCCTCTATGTTCCAGGCAGATGATATACACGAAACACATTGTAAAGTAAGTTGTTATTTGATATTTTATTCGGTCCTCGGGAGCTGTACATAGACACAGTTAAAACTACTTTTAGAGTGACCATGGTCGTCTGTGAGTAAGAAAATTATAAAGAGAGTATTGGAAGGATCGAAAAGAATAAAACGGAAATAATAAACGCGAAATTTAACCGTAAAAAAAGTTTCAAACAGTGTTGTCCTTTAATTGTTTAAATTTAATTAATAAACCAAAAATATAATGGGAGCACTGATATTTTGAATATAAAATGTTTTGGAGTATTTAATTGCTGGATGACAGTAACATTAATTCTTCTTCTTCTTCTTCTTGGTGCTATTCCACAATAAATGGGGACAGCGCAGCACTTATACTGAATCGGCATGACTTTTACGACCAGTCGTCTGTTTGACGTCACCCATTCTTGTGTTATATCTCTAGTAATATATCCATTGCAGCATATCACTGGGAAGGACTTTTCTGTTTCTTCTTTTGGTGTTTCTTTTACTTCATCCAGTCAGGAATATTAATTATGAATAATAAATACTTTGATAGACGTCTTCCGAAAGACGAACCAAGTGTTATTTAACCTAAACATGTGGGGCGATGATTTGAGGGGATCTAGAAAAAATTAAGGAGGAAATAAACATCGCATAATACAGAATGTATTCAATTTACTTGTGCCATTGAAATCATTTAATTAACGATATTTTTTATTTATTACGTAGCTCAGTGAATGACCTCACTATCGTGATTTTGTGTCAAACACGTATTTCTTTAGAAAAATTGGTACCTGCCTGTGGGAATTGAACACAGGATGTCTTATCGTTTAGGCCACGACGAGATCAGATTAAATTGAATTGTTGTTACTCAATTCAAGTATTTCCCGATTGCAGCGGTGTTGCTTCGATTTCATGCAAATGCCGTTACGCATCGCCCCAGTCATAGCTTTGTTAGTCATTATAGAAGCCTTTGTTAATTATTAGCAAAAACTATATCAAAGTACATATAAACATTGAATCTACTTTATTGGTAGGATTTAATATTTCACTCTCTTACATTACTTTTGCAAGTTGCAGGTTTACAATGTGGTCCCGTCAATAAGTGCAATTACCGGTATTAGTCCACAAAGGTATATTTGGAGGATATGCATCGCGTTTCATTTAGGACCAAGATTGTTAATAGGATCCCTGTATTACAATTATCATAAGGAACGAAATAGTTTTATTGGGGATGAAAAGGTGGGTAGATTGATCTTCATTGATTTATTTTTTTGTTGTTTAGACCGGTGAAGGGCTTATCTGGTATTCAGTGATCGCCAGAGCCCATAGACATAATTAAATTAATTCCCCCACCCACTTTGAGACATGAAGTCTAAACCTGAATTAAATAACATAACAGCTGTCCCGCCCGTAACGCATTACTGAGTCGTGGCAGCAAAAGAAAATGCGACAGTACTTAATCGTGCGCTCTTACAAGACGCTCTATCAATTTAAAATTTCATGTGACTCATGTCAACTGAGCAAGTAAATAGTGAATATTAACGTTTCCAAATATGTAGAGTAGACATTTCTTTCTGTTCTAGGTACGAGTGCAGGCAAATAAACTGGGAGAGGCTTGCTATTGGCTCAATTTGATAGAGTTATTAGCACTTACGGGCGTCACCTATGTATCTAACAGAGAAAACTATTGTGAGTATAAATGTGTATATTGTAAATAAAGTTATAGCAGTAGTGGTAATTGCCGCACAAATAATAGCGTCGAACAAAATAAGTCAGTACATACATACAATTTAGCAAACTTAGCATAGGTATACAGCAAAATACGTACAAAGATGAATGCCATATCTTGTTTACCTTTTGTATTTTCATCGCGTGCCGTTTTCCCAGTATATAATGAAGATATGTAGGTGAGCCGTGAGTTCGTCCATCCACCTAAGAAATATGGAAAAAAAAACAAAAACTTTTCGTAACCGAAGTGTCTAGATTGGTTGTTAAATATCTCAACTGCGACTATAAATCTCATAACTACGAGTACTATTCCATATTCAGAATTAAACGTTTCCAGCTGTAATTTGTACTAATATATTAAATATAAATATGTGTATGCGACTATGACTATTTCACTGGTGGTAGAACCTCTTGTGAGTCCGCGCGGGTAGGTACCACCGCCCTGCCTATTTCTGCCGTGAAGCAGCAATGCGTTTCGGTTTGAAGGATGGGGCAGCCGTTGTAACTATACTTGAGACCTTAGAACTCATATCTCAAGGTGGGTGGCGCATTTACGTTGTAGATGTCTATGGGCTCCAGTAACCACTTAACACCAGGTGGGCTGTAAGCTCGTCCACCAATCTAAGCAAAATATATATATATATATATATATATTAGTATAAAATATCTTAATAGTTTTTTGATAGCTGAATAGTGTGGAATCGAAATCGTAAGAAACGATTTTATTTATTAAAAGGAACCCGATCTGGTGATTGGAGAATTTAACCATTGTTTTCTTTCATTTTCAGTTGTGCATGAGAAAATTTTCATAGTTTTTATGATTGTTGCGTTATTGCACATGCTGTGTCGAGGAAGAGTGGGCGCCATCGGAGCTGACTCGGTGACCCCCGTGCGGACCAATAATATAGTCTGGACGCTATTTTACGTGGCTGTGGCGTCGACTGTAGGGCTAGTCGTGTTTTTCTTGAGACACCGCCTTTTGTGCCGACCTCTAGGTGAATAGACAAATATATTTTCGCCCTTACAACACAATTGGTACAATTAATCAGACATGATAGATTATGAAAAGTTTAGCATAATCTATCATGTCTGATTAATTGTACCTATAAGTACAAAAAAACTATTTTTAAATTTACTTGTGAAGCCTATCTCAAATTACCGAATTTTGAAATATCTAGAATTTAATTATACGATCTAAATTTGAAATGTTACGTCACTGTATATTTTATTAAAACCATAAAGTTTACACTTTCTGCATTTTTTTCCAGCTTTCACATGGTTCTCAGTCTGCGAATACATTCTGGCTACCACGAACATGGCTTTCCATGCGATCGTGGTGCGCGACCTGCCACTTCACCATCTCCAAGTTGTATATCCTGACCACAAACGAAACTAGTTGCATCTCATTCGGTTTCCATAATTTCAGTATTTCTATCTCACTATGTATAATAATAATTAAGTTGTAGTATATAGAATATAAACACGACGCTAAAACCTTAGAACGATAACAATAATAATACAATTATTAGTGACTACCTAGTAACACTAATAAACTAGCGAAATAAAGTAATTATTTCACAGGTGAATTGCAAACTAAAATTAGAATCTAAGTTAAGATACCTCGAAAAAATAGTGATTTTTAATAGTTATATTGTTTAAGAATCGCTTTAAGAATCTTCCTTCTGTAATATAGTTTATACAAGAATAGTGTAGTATTAATTATCACAATAATTCGACAATGGGTGGCAAATTTTTTGACAGCTGCTGAAGCTAGTAAGTAGTACCTAGTTGTCACCAAAAATCATTAATTTTCGCAAATAGGTAGTTCATTGGCTGTGAGTTTGGACTTTGGGAGTCGTTGCTGCTGGTAAGAGCCACGGTAAATACGTAGACAAGCTAGTTTTCGTAATTTAAGTATTAAAATGCTTGTAGACAATATGGAAATTCGCTTTGAACATATGAGATAGTTCAACATTATGTACGTTATGATTGATTTAGATTTTATAGAACAAAAATTAGCAAGATCAGTTCATTGAAAATCGAAGGACCAAAGTGAATAATCTTGCCTATACTTGCATACATATCTCTATCTGTATTATTAAAAGATAAGTTTATTTTTGATTCGAATCCGAATGTATTGGTGCATACGTCGGTGTATGTACTTACCTCCAAAAAAAAAAAACTAAAATGCCAAAAAAGTTTTTGTTGTCCTTTTGGTTGTTTGTAGAATTGTTGTTTTTGATGTTACTTATCTTGACACGCATAAATTTGGAAAATGATATTTGTATAAGGTATCTCGGGGAAGTTTGTTACAATTAAATAAATTAAGCAATATTATTCTAAGATTGTAAAGAAGAAGATAATACGTGATTTTTTGTAAATTATTGTATTGTTACACAATTATCACAATTGTGCTAGTAAATTTTAATACACGTTTTAAGATTTGAATTAAAATTACACTAACCTAAATATAATTATTATATCGTTATGAAATTAAATTAGAAGCTAGTGAAAATCGAATATATTGTCATTGTGAAAATCGAAAAGTAATGTAATTCAAACCTAAATTTATTTATAATTGGCGCCATGTTGTTTTTTACTTCCACAAACATTACTGATACTTATCTGACCTGTTTTGATACATAATCTAATTTATTTAATGCTTTACATTATAACTTATTATACATTAGTACACTAACAACTTAAACCCATTTAATGAGTAGGTACCTATGATTTAGAGAAGATTTAACTTGAAACACAAAAACTAGGTGGGTACATGGTTAGCATAGCGAAAGATGTAATAAAGACCAACATTTGATATTTGATCCTTATTTGTATTATATACTTACATTTGACCGATGATACAATAGTACAACAAAACGCTATAAAATTGCAATTTTGCCGTTTAGTGTTGGAAGAAAAAGCACCTCTTCCCATGAAGGGTCCGCGTTTATGTTTTGTTTTTATCTACCCGTTCTAGTAAGCTCAAGGGGTCATGTTTGATTCACCGAATGAATAGATGAGCTCACGGGGCTCTAACCTGTGGACTTTGCTAACACTAGCCCTACCAAGAGTGGTGCTTCTTAGAATCTACCACCGGATCGGAAACGCGACCTAGTGAGAAGAACCGGCGACAAACTCGATGGGCTGTGTCTGTTGGTTAATTTACTCGCCGTGCCCTTCGTCACAAGCGACGAGTTTGATGAGAACGGTGACCATTGCTTGTCCAAACCTCCTGATCCACGGTTGCTTCCGAAATGACATCACATGTTTTTTTCGTTGAAGGACTATTCACAATTACACTTCCTGATTATTATCTGTATATCTTACGTTATTTTCATCTATTATTCCTTTTTTGCCTGTTATTGCCTGATCATATTTTGGAATCTAAATTTCAGAGTCCGTATTTGGAAAACGTACCTAAAAATCCATATTATCATCATCCATATTATCTGTAACCGCTGCGTTCATCGACAGTGCGTTTCCAGAGGTCTTTTTTGTCACGCACCATCCGGCTATGGAATGAGCTCCCCTCCAGGGTGTTTCCCGAGCGCTATGACATGTCCTTCTTCAAAAGAGGCTTGTGGAGAGTATTAAGCGGTAGGCAGCGGCTTGGCTCTGCCCCTGCCATTGCTGACGTCCATGAGCGACGGTAACCACTTACCTTCAGGTGGGCCGTATGCTCGTCTGACTGCCAGGGCAATAAAAGAAATATTCAAATATTAAGCCATAGTTCGATAGTTCCGCACCAAAATATCAACACCGGGCGACGATCACGCTAGTAACCAATTAAAAATAAAAAGACAGAAACCCAGTCATTCGAATCCGGTTGATAAAGTATTTTGTTCGTTAGTTAGAAAATATCTTTTTTTTTGTGAGTAAAAAGTTTGAGTACGGGTTCTTCCAATTGAAAATGAACTGAGAACTTCCTTCTTTTTATTTATAGATTAAAAATAGATTTCTACCTTTGGCTACCGAATAAATAGTTTCACATTTACCAACCAGCAACATTACGACAACCTAAAAGAGAATGCTCTGATTAAATTAAAAGAACCGAGAAAAACAATTGAATTTACATCCCGACAGTGGTCAGAAGTCATGCGTTTCGGAAAAGTGTGAGTGAGGGTTTTAAATTATTCTTCTTTAATGCGATTAGTTTCATAATTTTGGATCGTGCTACAACGATTTTGTGTTTTAATAGGTCTCAATATTGAAATAAAAGAAAGAACAGGAAGCCTGTTGCGTCTTTTCTTGAAATAAGTTCATATTATCTAAAATAGAAGCAAGCTTACATATATTATAAGTAAAGAGTTTTTTTCATGTCGTGTTCTGCAGGGAATCGAAACGTTTTAAAAATTGTTTACCATATTTCATTTTATAGGAATTAAACGAGTTAAATATTTTGTTTGGGTTTCTTATTTTGTTTCCCGATCATCGTTATTAAAAACATCCTTACACTTCACAGGCCAACGTTCTTTGCAAACGAAAAACCGTATCAGATTAGCTCAGTTTTAGATAAATTTTCAATGTTTCCAATTGAGCAATGATTTAGAACCGAGCTCGTCCTTGCCAAGGTATCTACAAATTTTATTAATTGAATTATAGAGTATCGACCAAAAGTGTATAAATCAGTGTTCAAAATACGTATAATATATTGAAAATAGTCTATGCAATTATTAAAAGATCATTATAAAATTTTAAGAAAATAATATATTCTGTTACCTTTTCAAGTCATTAGCTGCCATCTATGAGCGCATGGGGCAAGTAATGTCGCTTTATAAAATGCGCGCTAGATGGCGCTAGACGAAATAAAATTGAATTGAATAAACATTCTCTCTCTCTGTCACATTAAAGATGGCGGCAAACGGGAGCTAGGGCAGGTATAAAATTTTCTATGTGTTGGTGTATACGTGTACAAAATTTCACGTTTGACCACTCTGATCACGCACACGAACAAAAAAACCGGGTGATTGCGGGGCGAGGGGAGTAACGTCCGTGAAGTTGTGTCAGCATATGCGCAAACGAGGTGCGCATTCGTCGCGTGCGTTGTCGGGATTCTTTGTGCCATTCTTCGCATACCAATAAGAGTATATTCTTTAAATTTAGTCCTTAATTGACATTTAGACAAAATTCGCCCCTTCACTTCATCTTCGAACTCCATAATAGGTAAGTAAAAAATATATTCTAAGTGATTTTCATACAATCTAGACGAGTTTTTGGTAATTTTTATACGGGAATGTCAACAATGCGATCGCGATCCTGCAATATTTTACATAGTTGTCGTGTTTGCTTCGCTGCGACTTCCGGTCGTTCGGTTGTCGGTATTTCGCGATGTAAACATTATCTAGTTTTTTAATTCGGTTGTGTTTAGCCTAGTTATAGGGAATGAAGTGTGTTCGAGGCGCTTTCGTGCTGTTAATTTCGCCTGAGTGTGCAGTGCTTACTGGGATGGCGCAATTTTCGAAAGACGCGGTATAGTATCGTTCGCCCGCGATACGCTTCAGTCGCGTTTGTGGCTGCATGCGATTTGACGTATTCTGCGCGTTGTGATGTCACTTGACAGCTTGTTTTATGAAATGTCAAACGTTTTACATGTTAGGCGCGAGTGAATAATAAACAAATTGACTGTGTTACTAATTGATATTTACACGGTGTGATAGTTTTCTGTGTGCTATGGACTGTTATTATTCAAAATTTTATCCAAGACGTGAGTATGATAAAAAGCATTTCAAAACAAACAATCAAATTCCAGAAATATTTTACCGAATTCCTCGAATACTTTAGAAGTTTTGTATCAAGTGTATAAGTGAAGAGTGGTTAAATTGTAAATAAACCGCATTTGATAAGTCTATGATTAATTTAAATAATGTCAATTGGACTTAGGTAACTACTTACGGTTAAAATGATTGAACATTCTCTGGATTCGAATAATGTTAACTAATAATAAAACGATGGAAATTTATGTTGAAATTATTATTGTGTGTTAATAATAATTATTCGCGTATAAGTAGATTTTAACAGGGTCCGCCTAATGCTAAGCGGTTACTGAGGTCCCTATTTCCCAGTGTAAAATAGACATCGTTGCACCACACATAAATGCTCCCGCCCATTCCAACTAATGAAAATGAAAATTTAGTAGTATTGGAACAACAACTATCCTAGCCGTTGCCGTCGGGAGTTCTTCGCGGCGGAAACAATAAGAACGGTAGCTCCGAAATACAGGGCTCCCCATCTGCCGCGATAACATTAATTAGTCACGCAAATTAAAAAATTTGGCGGGTTTTTATTGCACACGTTATTCTTCGTCGTGAGGTCGTTCATAAATACAAATTTAGTTTGATTTTTACTGACACAGCCTAATCCTGTGATTGCTAGTATAAAATAGTACACCGGCGCCGCGGCGTCACATATAATGCGATAAATTAGGAAAAGTGTATAAATAAAATACGGTGTCTTGATTTGGAATTTTATAATAAAATACTGTACAACGTATTTGATCCGCTTAAAAAGCAAATGTCCTTTATCACAGTGAATCGCCAAAAATACGTCTTTAAATTTCATATACATTTACTAGATAGAGATAGAGTAATTTAAAAGCTAGGTGTATCCGGTAGCATAATATTTTTATCACAAATAATTTGCTATCTTTATGAAATATTGTATTTTTAAATAAAGTCAGACTTCGCAAGTCAGTTTTTTTTCTCTCGAAAAGTCTAAATCTACGTGATCAAGATTTGATATAAAATAAACAATACGTGATGTTTTGGTTGAAAAAAAAAAACAAAATAATCAACAAACATTCACGTTCCGACAAACTTAAATGAACAATTTCTTTGAGATCAAGAAACGCTTCACTTGTAATACACCGCGGCACCGGTGGGACTCGTATGGGCGCCAAGAGTTATTTTGGTCAATACGGTTGATGTTTTTATTGCGCGTCGCGACACCGACGACTGTCGACAAGCCGAAACTGCACAGAGCGACAAGCAATAAGACGTGTAAACTGCCGGCGCTCCGGGCCCTAACGCCGCCTCGCATCTAATAGCCGATTCGGGACGATTTATCACGTATTCCGTCTTAGGGAAATTGAATTTAGAACAAGTCGCCCCTTTCGGTGACTGTTATTATGTTCCTTGATGAAAACTCTTTTATGTATTTTCACATTTTTTCGTATTTAATTAATTTGATTTAAAAATCGTTTTTTTTAACTCAGATATGTATGTGCATCGGATATATTATGTATTTGCAAAGAAAATATTACGATTCTGTGTTTGATTGTACCGGACTCAAAAGCACCAATTTTTAGGGCTTTTTTTCGATTTGGTTTTGTCTGTATAAGTCTGTTTGTTCAGTTGGGCAACATCCAAAAAACCACTTAATCGATTCTAATGAGACTTGGCCAACAAATCAGTAACCATATTTTATCTCGCTACGATGACAGGCGATAGCTGATGTACTCAATAAAACCTAATTTAATCACAACCAAAAAGGTGGAGTCCCATTAAGTACCCATCAAGTAAAATAAGGTACATATATCTATTCCATCGATTCTCGTTTAACTATAGTGAGAATGAAAACCCTAAACGATTGCATCATAAAATTAATTAAACTGAATCATGATTTTTACTATCAAAAAGTTAAAAGATATATAAAATTAAAAAGATAAGAAGAAATATTAGAAAAGATAAGATAATAGACAAGAACAAACTAAGTAATCCGATATACTATTGCAAAAATATATTTCTAATGAAAAGTTCCAATGTATGTCGATGAAATTATTACGCGGTCAAAAGAGCCTTTGGAGCTTTACTTTGTAGATTTTCATCAAATACATTTAAGAAACTCCCGGTAATTATTTAAGCAACCAGTACTAATTGTACTAAAAAGTAAACAAAACATTTTGTGTCGTCAAGGAGTTGAACAGGTCATCATAGTATTCGTGTTGCATCATTAGGTCAAGGTCACTAGTTGAATTTCTCTGACCAATTTTCTCATCAATTAACAGTCTGCTCACCAGCAAGTAACGTTTGCAGGTCAAATGATCACGACCATTGTCAGAGAATCATACCGCAATTATAAAAAAGACGATTCTCAAAACTAAGCGCCTGAATATTTTTTTTTTAAAGCCTATCTCAGAATTACTTTGATTAAATAATATTTGAACTACAAATTTAATAAGATAGGTGCATACGGGTCTAAGACTAATGGGCATAAGATTTGGACTAAAAAAAGTATTTTTGCGTCGGCCTTTTGAAGTTCGACTTTTGATTGAATTTGGTTTTAATTCGCCTTTCTTTGGTTCACGTTATAACCAAAAAACATTAAAAATGTCCTAAAGAAATTTAATTGAATGTCTTGAATATTTACAACAATAAAAATGTTCATGCTGTTACGTGTATTTAGTTAAAAATTGTAATATAGACTTTTTGGATGTACTGATTAAAAACATTATACTTAAATCTTATCAGGTTCGGATGGTCCTCTGAGAACTTTAACAAACTATACTGTAATATATTATGTTAGTTTCTGTTTGTTAGTCGTATTTTCCACTTTGTTTTTTTATTGCTAAATGGGTGGACGAGTTCACGGCCCACCTGGTGTTAAGTGACTACCGGTGCCCATAAACATCTACAACGCAGATGCCCTGAGATATGAGTTCTAAGGTCTTTTATAATACATGAATGTTTATTGCAATTCTAATACAATCCGATGTTATCCGATTTAGTATTGTATTTTTAAGCTTGCTTAAACGGTCACGATGGTCTTTTGCCGGTGTGGGGTCCTCGTGTCTAACGCACGAACGAATGCCCGTTTCTACCTACCTGCCCTTTCAACTTGCCCGAAGGTTCACTTAATCCCTAAAATGTATTTCGTATAAAAAGAAGAAAGCCATTATAATTTTTTACATAATATTGCGTTGATGGGTGAATGTGCTCTGTTTGTCTTTTTTTTCCCTACCTATGCTGATAGCATTGAGGGGCTACTTCAGCTTCACCCTAACGTGTCTAGGTGAGCTCACGGGGCTCAAACCGGAGTGTTGCTAACACTGACCCTAGCAAGAGCAGTGCTTCGCAGAATCTACCACCGGATCGGAAACGCGACCCACTGAGAAGATCCGGCGAGAAACTCAGTGGGCTTCTGTTTGTCGACATTTTAGATAGCAACAGGAAGTGAAGGTCTGCTGCTAATCTAGACATCACACGGCCAAGGTTTTATCTCAAAATATACAAATTTACAGCTTTTTTTTATTTCACGCTCAGGAGCGACACGACGAACGACACATCAGAAGTATAATTCAAATACTCAAAGCATTAACTTTTAGATACAATAGGGGTTAAAGTATGAAATTGCCGTTTTATTGTAATAAGTAGGTACTTCGAATTGACATAGAACCTTCATGGTTTGAGATTTTTTAGTGAAACTTTTTTGAAATGGTACCTATTAGGTTCTTCTTTTAAAACATGTGCAACATTCGATTATCGACTTTCAGTTGTTTTTTTTATTCAGATTAGCCAAGAAAGATGGATACTTCGAAAATTCGAGTGATTTTTGTATACGAGTTCCGACGCGGAACTAACGTTCTACTGAGACCTTAGAGGGGAGTGCTAATCAACGCACAGTGTGATTTTGGTTTAAACGCCTTCGTGATGGAGATTTTGATTTGAAGAACGAATCACGTGAAAAACCGCCCACACATGGGAATAACAATGAATGCAAGAGATGGTGGAAGCGGTTCCGAGCCAAATTACCCAGGAATTAGCGGCATGGCTTAACGTTACCTTACCAACAATATTGACTCATTTGCGTCAAACAATGCAATGACTGACCACTCGTCAAACGCCGCAACGATGTCCTAAAGCAAAGCTCACCAATAAAAATGTAATGGTAACTGTTTGGTGGTCTCAGCATGGTGTTATTCATTATAGCTTTGTCCGATCTGGTCAAGCAATAGCGGCAGATGTCTACTGTGATGATAACGCGAGACCTTATACAGCACGAGAAATCGTTTTAACTCTACAGGAACTGCAATTAGAAACCATTCGTCACCCTCCATATTCGCCAGACCTTGGTCCAGCGGACTACCATTTTTTTCGTGATTTGGACAATTTTCTACGTAATAATAAGGTTATTTTTCCAGAAGGCAGTACAAAATGCTTTCACACAGTTGGTAGAATCTAGATCACCGGAGTTCTATCGCAAAGGCATAATTGACCTTCCTATTAGACGGCGGCAATGTATAGATAATAATGGTAGATATTATGATTAAATAAATATGCTAGATGAAAAAAAAAAAAAATTTCAATTTTTCTGTACAAATTAGCGATTTCGTATCCCTATATACTAACCATCGTTAATGAAAAAGAAAACAATTTCTTTTTAATTTTCTAAAACTGCTTTTTTTTTGAGTCTTATTAATATAAAAATATGGTAAATATGGGTAGGTAGTAAGATTATTACAACATATTATTACAAAGACCAAACAAAATGAAACTGATAAATCTAATTGTATTGATAAAACTTAATTACAAAGCCGTGAACGTCAATGATAATATCCCATACCTGTATTGTACAATAAATCTCGAACTATTGATATTTATATTAAATTTAATGAATTTTGAATAAAATCTTTTAGAAACAGCTAGTAGCGTTGAAGCGTGGGCGACAGACAAGACATTTCACGTCTAGTTTCAAATAAGTAGATAACAT